CTCCAAATCGACACCTTGGATGGTCGGATGGAATGAGGTTGGACAAGAAGTTGGCATTAAAACTGCAAGATTCATAATTCACTCCCAACACTACATAAGTTGCTTGAAATGCCTCTGGGATGCCCAGGACCTGCAACGGAAATGCATCAAATAATAAAACTGTAGTCGTTGCTTTGAAAGTCGACAGGCTTCTCAGAGTAATGTGGCCCCATCCTTGGACAGTAAGAATCGCAAGGGGGAACCACTTCCCAAGTCTGAAAGCGACAGCCCGATGGCGAGAAACTACTATAACCAGAATTGTTGTATAGGTCAGTATATAGGTCAGCATATTTTAAGGGTAATAGGCAATGCCTATGAAAACCCTATTGAAAACGGTGCAAGCAATAACTAACTTTCAATAAACATGGTACTACAATGTTGTCAGTAGTATACACACTCAAGATAATATTTTTCTTTAAAAATGCAGAACCGAAACTCGAGAACATTCAGCTGTAGATTATTTCGGTAAAATTAAATGACAATCATCCGTATTAGCGGTAGGTGTATGCAAGGCATTGGTTTGGCACAACAGAGCTGTTCTGTCCAGACAGGTGATATTTCCCATGCAAATATACATCTAGTCTTTGCTTGAATGTCTCCGTGGAACCGCCATTATCACGTCCTCATGAAGCCCGTTCCAGGCATCGACGACTCGCTGTGAAAAAGAGTATCTACGAACGTCCAGGCGGCATCGGGTGAAGAAATCGTCGAGGCTTAGGGCACAGTCCCGGTTCCTCAATATCCGATACGCCTCTATGAGATCTCGTCGAATCTGCCTGTACTCAAGAAGAAATAGTTTAAGTTTACTGAGTCTGCAGTTGTAAGGTCAGGTCCTGAGACCTTTCACAATTTTTGACGCTCCCCTCTGAACTCTTTCCATTAACTTATAGTCTTTTTAGCCACGGGCACCAGGCCTGGATTCCATGTTACAGATGTGAACGAATGAACGCTCCGTATACTTTTCCAAATAACTCTTTGTCTATGGCTATGAAAGTTCGTTTAATTGCAAAGACAACATTGGTTGCCCTTTCGGCCGCCCTAACTCACTGAGAGGAAGGCTTAAGAGTCGACAAAATGTTGATCCCAAGATCTTTTTGCTCGGCCACATTTGAAGGGCACCTTCCACCAAGCAGGTAATGGTGATCCTCTCCATCGGCTCTTCCATTCGTTTTGAGTCGCAGCGCGACGCACTTCACAAGGTTGAACTTCAGCAGCCATTTGTCAGTCCATTCGCATAGGCGGTTTAGTCCTTCTTGCAGTGCCCGTTCATCATTTTCCCCGTTGATCGATCGCCATAACCTGATGTCATCGACAAACATGACTCCATTGCAGTCCAGTCCATTCATACAGTCGTTAACATAAATTAAAAACAGTACTGGTCCGAGTACAGTGCCCTGAGGAACTCCACTCACAACTGGCACCGGCGTTGACTTCGCACTACCAATACACACAGACTGTGATTGACCAGTCAGAAAGTCCGTTACCCAGTTTAATAGGTTTCCCCTTATCCCTGACTCTCGGACTCTGTAAAGTAACCGGTGTTGTGGAACACTATCAAAGGCTTTCTAGAAATCGATGTAAACGATATCGACGCTTGTTCCTTCGTCTAACGAGCGGCATCACTGTTCCGTTCAATAGAGCATATTAGTTAGGCAGGTGTGATTTCGTCGAAAGCCATGTTGGGGACTAGCAATGAAATTATTTTCTTTAAGGAACTTCATTATGGCTTTTCTGACTGTTCTCTTCATGACTTTGCAACAAATGCACGTTAGGCTCACCGGCCGATAATTGTTGGCACATGTTCTAGATCCACCCTTGTGAATTGAGTATATGTTTGCCACTTTCCAATCAGAGGGGAGAATGTCTCAGTCAAAGGACGATAGGCAAAAGTGGTTTGGCGAGTTCGCAAGCCAACTTCCCCAGAACTTTTGCCGGTATTTGGTCTGGACCCGGGAACCTACCCTCCTTAAGAGCTAGAAGTTCCTTCCTCACATCTTCTTCCGTGAAGTCGACGTTTTCTATTATTTTGTCGGTCCGAGTATGTTACTGCCGACAAGGCCAAGTTGAGCTAAGACCTGACAAGACTGTCTATAGTCCCGAAATAGAAAACAAACCAAGATCTAATAAAGCAGATGTAGTAACCCATATTAAACATAGCGAGGCCACAGACCATACCGTCATCTTATAGTCTTATGCTGTTTTCAACAGAGTTGAACCGAAATGGTATGCCGTCCAGTCCCAGATGATTGCTAAGATGAGGATGCTGAATAAACTGAGAATAGTAGGTACCTCAGTACCCTCTGTCGCTGTCATTTTTGACTTCCGATATGGAAAAGTCTTGACTTTGGTCGCTGTGCAAACACGCGCGCATTGTAAACAAATCAAGGCATTGAAATACCCTCGCAGTGTTAAAAAAAAAGTATGCCTGCAAGCTGGACACTTTAGTGATTATTCACGCCTGTCCGTCAATACTTACAGGGAAGGCGCCTACTGGACTGATATCCAAATGTATTCACCGAAGGCTAACAGACGCATGCAGGTTTTTTGCCTCATTTTCAGCTCATATACAGCTGAGGATAATATCTACCTTTATCCGTCAGCCTGTGTTTACGGATCCACTCACTAAAGTTAGTATTGGTCAGGGTCTTCGGCATGCCATAAACACTGTTTTCTCAGCTTCGTGTCAAACTAAGTCATTCATTATTTGAGATTCAGCACGAATGATCAGAAGGAAGTTGCGTTTAAATTTGTCTGATCCGACCACTACGAGTCCAGTCCGTGAGTTCAACTCAGAATCTCAACTGCCAAACGTACGCCAGTATACACCTCTTCTTTCACTGATTGTTTTATATCCGTGATTCTCCACAACAGACTACGATATCGATGCTTTGGACTAAGAAGGGAATCAGACTGGCTCGCAAGACGTGTTTGTCTAGCAGCCCAGAATTCGAATTCACATCATCCGTTGATTGGCAGCTTAATAAAGTCAACTGGGAGAGAAAGCGAGGCGGAGTAAAATGGCCGACAAGGACAGCGTGGTCAGGATTGCTGACTTCTTTCAGTTAGCAACCACAACGAACCTCCGAGGTGATCCACTTAAACTACGTGTGCCTGGCGCCAGGCTGGACATGTGAAAGTTCTTCGTTTCCAACCGAGTGGTCGAGGCTTGGAATGCTCTGCCTGTCGGTATCGTCCTTTCTACACCGCCGAGGCTTTTAAGCCCAAGTTGGACCAGTATATTACCAAGTGTCATAATGTCATCTGACTGATATCGTCTTAGCGTTCCGTTCTAACAGTTTATTAACGGTACAATATAACTGACTGTGTTTCAGTAGCATATGTTTTTAGTTTGTTATTATCACAAGTTCATTGAAGGTGAGTACTGAGATCACAACAATATTCTACAGCACAATTATGTGTAGACTGGCTACTGCACAACACATTTGGTAATGTTTATGTTTTTAACACTTGGAATAATTCGTTTATCTGACCGGTTCCGAAGAACATCTGTAGCTGTTTGATGTTTCCATTTTCAAATTTCCGATATAATTCACTTCCTTGCAACAAACACGGGGCTTCAAAAGTTTAGCACCTACGCATCCCTCAAATAAACTGAATTGAAGGGAAGACTGGAATAGCCATTTCTGGCTCCTCGACCGTCATCAGCCAGCCATACCCAAACCCAGGGCTTTGCTACCCCTGAGGCCCAAACCCGCGTTCTGTTGGTTAGAACCTGGGACCGAGTATGTCTGGTCGATGACGGCTGATATGCCAGAAATGGCCGTTCTTGTCTCCCTTATCTGTCAGCGCTGTTATTCTGCCTACATTACTAGCCGCTGTGCAGCTGTTGGCGGGGAGCTGGGTTAAGCCCCGAGGGGCACAATGGGAAGAGTGTGTCCCGCAGAACGACCTGTGAGCTGTGAGTGAGGTCTACATTGCGAAATCCGGCTTCGCAGTATATCTTTGCACTCATTCCTATCAATAAGTGCGAGGGGCTTGAAACTATCATAATGCACTAGGAATCGTGGTTTGAAGATTGTCAGCTGAAGGCATAGTTCGGTTCTCATGGGGATAATTTTGAGTAACTGGAAAACTGAGATTCAGACTGCAATGCTCCTTCTCCATGTGGACTGTATGAAGTCTGAATGCCCTTATCTGAGACTGTTTCTGGTGATGGATTCGAGTGAGAATCCGAAACGTCGGGCTAATAAATTTCTTGTTCCAGTGATCATGTCTTCATCTTCTGAAGTCTGAAGAGCCCATTTGTAATCGCGGTATGTGCAGCGGACATAATTTCGTGTTTGGCACGCGTAAATGGAGTGGTTGGCCTGGTACTGAGCGTGGGAGGAGGGAGTGAGATAGATCCTGCCTAAGTTCACCCCACGGGAAGCTAATTTATAAGCAAACGGCTGGGCGCCACGCTCACTCCGTGATTCATGCGACAGATATCACCACTGCCGACGGTCGAACTGGGTCGAACACGGGAGTATGGAATCCCTACCAGTACGGGAGATGGACTCCTGATAACTTCCAGGGGTGTTTCTATTCCTGTGCCAACGAACCCTAACTCTAACCCCAACGGAATTCGAGGTAAGGCCGCTTGTAATACGGGGGAGGTCCACATTCCCGTGTTAATTCCCAAATTCTCTGTCGTTTCACATTCTAAGTCCCTTTCTACACGAAACGACCAGCGTCCGAACGTGTTTCTCATTTATCAAAATACGCGAACATTGTTGCATTAACACTTGGCCTCCCCACGCGCTGGCGTCTGTTTCAAATAAAACCTTTTATAAAAGCGAATAAGTAGACTTAGAGCATGCTTAGTGATCAGTGCAGTAGTCATCCCTCTGAATGCAATATATAATTTGTTACTGTCTGAGTTTTTTCAATCGGTTTTTACGGAGGAGTCCTCAGAAGACGATCAGCAGTTTGAAATGAACCGAAACAGCCGGGATTTTCAAATGCGCCAAGATACTGCCGTCATTGAAACCGTTGCCTTTTCCGTCGGAGAAGTAACACGCGTCCTCAGTCAAATAAAACCAGACAAGTCTCCTGGACCCGACGGAATTCCTGGTCTGATACTTCAGGAGCTATCAAAGGAGCTGGCGAAGCCTCTTTCGACGCTCTTTGACCTGTCAATGAGAACAGGAAGGCTGCCATCACAGTGGAAGACAGCTAACCTCGTTCCCTTACATAAAGGCGGTAGCAGGATGGCAGCAAGCTGTTTCAGGCCTATTAGCCTAACCTGCCTCTCGTGCAAAACGATGGAAGCTCTAGTAAAGAGTGCCATACAGCAATTTTGTGAAGAAAATAACATTTTGCAGGATTTTCAGCATGGCTTCCGGAGAGGACGTTCCTGCCTCTCAAATCTGCTAGCTTGTCTGGAAATCTGGACCAGGGCCCTAGAAGAGGGTTTTGAAGTTGATGTCGTGTACATCGATTTTCGCAAAGCCTTCGATACTGTTGCGCACCAACGCCTTCTTCACAAATTGAGCGCCATCGGCATCCGGGGAGATCTTCTGAACTGGATAGGGGCGTTTCTGGTTGGTCGGAAACAACGTGTTTGCATCGGTGATGATATGTCAGAATGGGTGAGCGTGACCAGTGGTGTGCCTCAAGGCTCAGTTCTGGGACCATTGCTATTCCTCCTTTATGTTAATGACAGCCTTCAGGAACTCGACTGTGGCAAAATAATGTTTGCTGACGACGTTAAGCTCTGGCAAGTCATTAAGAGTCCTAACGACCAGAGATCCCTCCAAAACAATCTTCATCGACTGCAAGCGTGGTCGGAGAAATGGCTTCTAGACTTCAATGTGCAGAAGTGTACCGTCCTTCATCTGCGTCCAACTAACTCACATTCAAATGAGAGCCTGAGGACATATCATCTGAAAGATATAAGATTCCCCGCAGAATCTTCACAGAAGGATCTCGGGGTTTGGATACAGAACAATCTGAAACCAACACTGCAGTGCCACAAGGCTGCAAAAAACGCCATGGGAGTGCTGCATGCAATCAAAAGGGCGTTCGTTACCTTTGACCAAGACCTTTTTGGGAGAGTTTACGGCACCTTCGTTCGGCCCCACTTAGAATATGGCATACAAGCATGGCGGCCATGGCTTGTAAAGGACCAAGCATGCCTCGAACGGGTGCAACGTAGGGCAACAAAGATGGTAAACGGTCTAAAAAACCAATCCTACACGGACAGACTGAATTGCCTTAATCTATTCCCTCTGTGTTACAGGCAGCAAAGAGGTGATCTAATCCTGGTTTACAAGATAATAAATGGCCTTGAGCATGGACTTAGCTTTGAGGACATGTTTCAGTGGCACCTTTCACCCAATCTTCGTGGCCACTCGATGAAGCTACGGACAACGATGTCCAGGCTGAACCTTCGTTCTGAATTTTTCACGCAAAGGGTAGTGGAGAAATGGAACGATCTCCCTCAGTCAGTCGTGGAGGCGACATCCCTGCAGCTCTTCAAGACACGCTTGGATGATTATTTGTGTCCCCTGTTTTCCCTCGACAGTCTGAATCTGAGCTAAACACCCCGGTTCCCCACATATTTTTTCTTTGTGACAATGCTACTCAAAGGAATTAAGTACTATTTATATAGCGAATATTTTCATTGTTCGTGTACAGTTATTTCTAACGAGTTGACATGTTATCAATAGGGTTTTCAAAGGCTTTGCCTATCATCCTTATCAAATAAACTGAAATAAACTGAAATAATTCTACCTTTTTTTCAAAGTTGCGATCGTCGGCATCCAGAAAACCCATATTGCGCTCTGCGGCAAAGCATTTGCACTTCTTATGACAGCGCAATGCATTTTCTTGCAGCGGGCGTTTAACAATCCCATAGTCTGTTTGAAGTCAATTGCCTCTGGTCATGAAATATTAAATATACCAAAGCAGGCAGGAGCTGAACTCACAAAGAATAGTGTGTTTCTGGAAATACGGTAGGCGATGGAACTCATAAAATGTGCATTAACTGAGAAAAAATCTCTAATCAATGGGAAACCGGTTCAAACACATATACCAAAACTACCAGTTGATAATGAACGACCTTAGGTCCAATGTAAACGTAAAAGAGACTTTGAAGGTTGCATCACTTTTATTAGAAATGAGATTTTCCTGAAGAAAACAGAACACGCCGAGTGCACGAAAATTCATTCCAAGCGGGTAAAATCAATTTTCAGATGTAAATGAAAAGCTTAAAAATAAGCTTTTTCTACGTTTTTTACCCAAATATCCAGCAACACTGGCAATCTTAAAGGAAGAAAATAACCAAAATGTGAACCATCACTTTCAAGAAGCCGACTTTTTTTCGGATTTTTTCCAAAGTGTCTGTGCCGCGGCACCACCCCTTCAGTCCTGTTCTCTGTCACAGCTCGTCAACCAACCACTTATAAACACAGTATTACCTACACCGCAGCTAGTTTTGCCAGACAGAATGGTATTGGGAGACTTGAATGGCCATTTCTGGCTCATTAGCCATCGTCAGCCAGTCATACCCAACCCCGAAGTTTGGAACACCGGAGGATCGAACTCGCGACCTGTTAGCTAGAAGTCCAACGCCTCTAACCACTGGGCCACGGGCCCGTTGTCTTGTCGGTTGCGATCGAGAATAGACAATAGTAGAGGGGTGATAGCGCGCTCACCGATCGTTTCTACGTAACTCACTCGTCCCGTTGCGCCTTACGGGCTCCCTCTCGTGCCCAACCAGCAGCCGCACAGAGGGGCATGACATAGGCAGATTGGCGCGGGAACGAGACGAGTGAGTTCCGTAGAAACTATCGGTGAGCGTCTCCCTCTACCATTGTATATTTCTGATCGAAACCGACAGGACAAAGAGCCCGTGGCCCAGTGGTTAGAGGCGTTGGACTTCTAGCTAACAGGTCGCGAGTTAGGGCCCCAGGTGTTCCACACTTTGGGGTTGGGTATGACTGTCTGAAGACGGCTAGCGAGCCAGAAATGGCCATCCCAGTCTCCCTTGTCTTTGACGGCAATACCATTTTGCCTATATCATACGCGGCTGTGCGGCTGCTGGCTGGACTCGAAAGAGAGCCCTATGGCACAACGGGACGAGTGAGTTACGTAGAAACGATCTGTGAACGCCCCCTCTACCAGTTTTAGCAGAGTTAAATAAGCTGAATCTGGCCAAAGTCACCTGGACCAGATGAGATCACAGGTGTACTAGCCGAAGCATTAGAAAAATGACTCTGTATAATCTTCCAAATATCGCTCGAAGCTGGTAAGCTGCCTGATACATGGAAGTTGGCAAACGTCCTACCCATTCACAAGGGAGGATCCTGGCCACATCCCACCAACTCTCGGCCCGTAAGTCTGATATGCATTTGCCGCAAGCTAATAGAAAGGATAAATATAAAATCAATTACACCACTCGATACGTTCTGCCGACACATCAGCTCGGTTCAACCTGGCTTCCGTGAAAAGAGGTCCTGTCTAAAAAACCTGCTTACGTCGCTCGAACATTGTCCAAAGGCCTTGGATGAAGAACATCCGGCATATGTCATTTACCTTAACTTCGAAAAGGCGTTTGATTACGTTCCAAATAAGGACCTCATTCAAAAGTTGTCAGGCGTAGGGATAAGAGGAAAGTTCCGGAACTGGATTCAAGATTTCTTAAACTGTCGTAAACAAAAAAGTTACTGCGGGTGGCTACCACTGAGAAGGGACGCCTGTTAAAAGCGGAGTCCCGCAAGGGCCAGTTCTTGGGCCGTTCCCATTCATTATCTATATAAATGATCTAGTACGGGAAGTGAAATCGGACATAGCGCCCTTCGCAGATGATCTCAAACTGTGGAGGGTGATAAAAGATGAAGAAGACGCCAAGATGCTACAAGAGGACGTAGAGAATTTGTGGGCATGGAGCGTGAAATGGTGCATAAAATTCGACGTAGACAGCCCGAGAAGTTACTGTAAAGTCCCTTTGGTGATTATTGCTCAATAGATGTTAGAGATACATCATGCTGTGGGCTAACCAAGAAAAAAGGGGCGGTGTTCAGGTGCTCTTGTCACCCTACCAGTGTTACTTGTTTGGAAGGACAACGAGCCCGTGGCTCAGTGGTAAGAGGTGTTGGACTTTTAACCGACAGGTCACGGGATCGAGCCCGAGATGTTGCGCACCATGGGGTTGGCTGACAACGACTAACAAGCCAGAAATGTCCGCTCCAGTCCCTCCCGCTCTTTGTACTTCTGCCTAGATTGATAGTTGGACGTGAAGGTGGTTTGGAAAGGCAGCCTATTCTTACCTCCTTGAAGTAAAGCACACCATCTGGGTAGCAAATCAAAGGAATTTCTCTGCACACATTTTCGTTTAGTTAGCCCTTCAACGGACGTCCTTGTTTGATCTTTTACTCAGAGCCGTTAGGTGTGAAAGTCGAAGTCAAAACGACCCGACAAAGAACGTTTCGGTTGCTGAAAGTCAGGTGCTTCAGTAACGACTAAATGTATGTGTTGATCAACTCGCCATCGGCAGTTTGATCTTTAGATAATTTAGTACTTAAAGATTAGCTCAGTTGAGACGAGGGAAGGCAATTTCGGTTGAAGTGGCTGGCCAATCCTGACGCGGTTCTTGCTCTTCGTTGTCGTTTTTTCTCACCGTTTCCAATGCCGCTCTTCTCCCCAAACCCGTTCTCGCTGTTGGCCGTCATGCCTCCCAGTCAGATCATCTTGGTCGACTTTGAGTCTTTCCATGTATGTTATTTGTTATCCTTTCCGATGTCCCCGATACTGTTGGCTATTTTTTGGTGTCCACAGTGAGCAGTGTCGTAGATGTGCTGGATCAAACCAGGGGCCAGACAGTTTCACGGCAGCACAGACTCCGTGAAGGCCCGTAACTACATCCCTACATGGGAAGGATGTGGTGCCGCGCCGAGATGCGCCAGCTATTGCACCCATTCAAATCTCCCGTTAGATGACAGACCCGAGCATGGCAGAGAGAAGAAAGAAAGAGAGAAAGGTGGGTCGAAACTGGGGAATCAATCTTCACGAGACACCAGCGCATTCCTCCCCAGAATTGAGAGTCGGACTGCAATGACTCCCCTTAAATATGGCCCTTATAGCACTCTCATTTATGTTCAATCCAGGCAACCTGATACATCCGAGGGGACCGGGTTGTGTGTGGCACGCGTAGACGAGATGTTTAACCGTATCCCGTTGTGCGACTGCTGGTTGGGTTCGGGAGAAAGCCCGTAAGGCACAACGGAACGAGTGAGTTCCGTAAGAAGGATCGGTGGGCGCCCCCTACCATTGTATATTCCCGATTGAAACCGACAGGCCAACGGGCTTGTGGCCCAGCGGTTAGAGGCGTGGACTTCTAACTAACAGGTCGCGAGTTCGAGTCTCGGGTTTTCCCCACTTCGAGGTTGGGTATGACTGGCTGACGACGGCTTATAAACCAGAAATGACCACTCAAGTCTCCCTTGTCTTTGTCGGTAATAACATACTGCCTATATCATGCGCCGCTGTGCGATTGTGCTCGAGAGAGCCTGTAAGGCACAACGGAACGAGTGAGTTCCCTAAGAACGATCGCTGAGCGTCCCCTATCGTCGTATCTGTTACCGTGTCTTCCCGCGCAGTAGCAGCAAAGACGTTGGTCGCTCGTCCGAAACTGCTCTTTCTTTAATATTGGAAAGTATTTCAGTGTGCTAGTAGACCATGCTACCCGGGTACCTGAACCCCCCAGCCACCCCGCCAATTCACCTCCAGCACTTTCTGAAGGTAGAGCAGGCTGATATTAGTTCTTATTTGGTTCTGGCAGACGGTCCACGTCTCTGAGGATATGGCTGCGTGGGCAGTAAGCCGGTCCCGAATATCTTCCGTTTTCAACTGCGATTCACTGGCGTAGTGAACAGGCAGGTGAGATGATAGCTTACCAAATACTGCGCTAGCCAACAGAAACGAATAGGTGAGTTCCAGGAAGTAGTTCGGAAGAAGATGCGATTGCTGGCCTGACGTTCTACATTCACTCTCGTAACCATCACCAGACAGTCGCAGAAAAAAAGCCCCGCAGTTGACCGCCAGCCACAAGCTTAATAATAATCAGCAACACTCTCGTCCATTGCTGGGGATCGTAGTTGATGGGACAATTGCTTGTTGGCCCGTACCCGAGCCGCCAATGACCGTGATTTCATCACCGTTGTTTGATTATTGACGTGACGATTACTCAACAGTTTGGTTCACTGTTGCCGGAATTGTTGGTCCCCCAGACCCTCCCCACGTGGTTTATTATTTTGCCCAGGCAAAATCTCAGTACATAAAATGGAGAAGGAAAGTCATTGCGCTTGCTAGTTGAATGTGGCCAAAAAGCCATGACCAAGCAGCTCGCGGCACACGCGGCTCTCATGCCTTGCAAGAATTTCGGCCTCAGTCTACTTGAAGGTGCGGCCGGATCCCGTCGAACGAGCTGTGATCCGGGAGCTAACGCCTTTCCTCTCATTGCTGCTGCATGTTCGACCATCCGTGTTCAGAGTAAGTTTACAGTTTCTCAGACGAACTTCCCTTGTCCGCAACTGCACCA